GGGGGGTATAAATTGCTTGCCTGGTGTTCTTGACAATGACATTCAGTTGCAGAAATCAGGGTGGATGAAGAAAGGAGCACCCCCTCCAGGATATATAGTTAGCCTATATGCTGCAAGTTGATAATTATGACTGTTGCAACTGTTACTATAAATAGTTATATTCCAATCTAAAACAGAATCTCTGCTCTTTATGCAGCCACTATTACTTTGGCTTTTCTTTAATGAAAGCAATTATTCAATGCACATACTGCTATAAAGTGCTTTAAGAGAAACGTTTAACCAATATGTGTGACTTAGCTTCTGACTCTGCTAAATTTGTATAAAAATGATCTATCAAAGTCTGTAATGAAAGCAGACACCAATTGTCTATAGTTATGATCATTGATAAGGAAATTATGTAACCTTACGAAATTATATAGCCTTCTATTGGTTTCATTCAACTAATTTATTTAACTAAATTTAATTATTCAACTAAAGTCACCAATGAAAATGTTAAATTGAGAAGTACATAAACATCAACACTTACAACTCGATATACACCTACAACGGCAACATGTGGAAGAATCATTACTTTCATAGTTTCATAATAGTATTCGCAATGCCATTAGTCAATTTTCTTGTCAAAAATTGCGAATCATTTCGTTTCCACTGCGTATTAAATGATGAAGTCCTTCGAATGCTTGCCAAAAATGTACTATCGACATTTGCCATATTCAGACTAGTAAAATGACGTTGTTTTTTGTTTGTAAATTCACAAATTGCCTTTTATTCACCCTTCAGTAAACCGCCATTTTGAAATTAGTATCATTACGTCATTTCATCTATACGCTGTCGTTGATTGGCTATGAGCACGCTTACAAACTTCTGGTACGCGCACGATGGCAATATATCTGCTTCGCAGATACAAAAACATAAACATACCTTTCGCCGAATATAACTTCGGCCCCTTGAAGCGTATGCTCATTGTGATATTCTTGATGAATTAATCATTTAAAATGGCATGTATAACGTTATTTCCAAGCTTCTATCCTTAAAGGGTGACTTTTAGTGCCGAATTTTACATTTCTTGTCCGAATTTACCGCAAATACGACGAAAACTCGTCAAAACAATGCTACGCTTGTATCGCGTGACTCTGGAAATGCCAGAAATGGATTTTACAGGTCAAAGTGCACCCATACGCGTGAGTTTGACGTCATCCCGGCTAAAGGGAGCTCCTTATTGGCCAAGTATTACGTAATACAAGCGCGTGCGAGTAAAACCCGATACTTTAAAAATTCAAAATAAATATTTCTACTCGTTGTATTCATACGAAACTTTCTACACTAAAGCGCTTGAATACAAAGAGTATTTTACACATATAGCCTTTCAGAAAATGACGAAAAGTTTAGAATATATTCAACTTTTCTCTTTTTCTCGTTTGAATGTTTGGCGAAACGGTGAGTAGTAAATATATTATTGTTTTGGTTTGTGTAATGTTTTGACGGCACTTGACCCCCCGTTCGAAAGGTTATTTTGTGAGGATTACAATGGTGGATTTTGTTTTAAAGGGGGGTAAATACTCGCCGCGATATTTACATTAGAAAAATGGAATCGTAATGTAATACGAAACTAAAATCAGGACGCAATGTTAAATTCCCTGGATTTGTAGCTGATATTTGGCGCCACAATATATCGCATAAACCAGAAATTTTTCACATACCCACTTTTCTTAGTTGAAGCATAGTAAATAGAGGACAGGGTTTGGAAGGCCGGCAAACTTCAAAGGCTTTCGAGCTAATTAATTTCAGATGTTGGAAAGGTACGTCACGTGACATTTCGGGACCCCCGCGATTTTTTATAATCAGTTCGTGATTTCGAAGTTACAATATTTCGCTCGATATTTCGAGCCGATGAAGCCTTATTAACCGTGAATAAGCGAAGATGAAACATCAGGGATGATTGAGTAATATCCAGGTAAGAATCTTGTTATGTTTTATGTATAATAGAGCAACTTTGAAAGGAAAAATCTTTTACTTCCATCTTCATTCCTGAATTTTGAGAATGCACGTGCTTGATGTTTCGGCTTAAAATTTGAATTTGCCGCGACAATATTTAAAACGATGATATAAAACATTAGTTTAATTCAAAGCTTACATACTTGACTCCTGAAGTCTTTAAATTAAATTATGTTTATTGTAACTAATGCCAAATAGTTAATAGTTGTGTATTGCCAGGTTCCAGTGGCAGTGTTTCTTGTATCAAAATTAATATATTATAGCTTGACATCTACTCAAGTTTCAATCTTCAATTCTTTATATGCTTATAAATACTTAGGCATATCCCAGCTAAATGTGCATGTCGCAGTTACATAATAGTCATAGAATAAAAGTTATTCTGAATAAGGAGTGCATTATATATAATATAAACACGTTCTACGATAGGGTTGCATATTCTATTTAGCTCAAATTTAGACAAATCTTACGATTTGATGAAGAATTGGCAATAAATTTTGAAAATTTTGGATAAAGGTTGCCAAAAATTGCAAATCTCAAAACGTCTCCGAGGTTGTGCTGCAATATTTTCAAATGTTCGATTCTTTTAGCAAGAAATTTTAAACCAACCATTTAGACAAAAAGTCTATTTCAACTGCATTGCACTATGGAAACAGTATAAACGTATTTTTTATGAGAATGATTATAATTTTCAATAATAATGTCCAGAAAGTAAATTGTTATGTCATGCACAATTGGGGCATTTCTTGTGTAATTAGCAAACTTTCATAAAACTCTGGATATATTTGAGGAATAACATTCTAAAGTTCATGCCAGTGTCGACATTGGTAAGTTTCTGTGATGAAAATCAAATAGCAATAAAATATTATCCAAACTTTTGTGGGAAGATACATTACTAAGAGGAAATAGGAGTTTTGTTCCATAATCATCAACTTTATATGACCGAGGTATTACTTACTTATCGTCAAATTTTATAGACGCAGATATATTAGGTTGTTAAGTATGTTCAGAGTATGTAGAAATATATGGAATGGCGCGGCATGCATGCATGCAAGGTGTTAGTCATATCCAAAACGAAAATGGTGTAGGATAAATCCAAAACCAAAATGATGTTGGACGCATTCAAAACCAAAATGGTGTTGGCGCATCCAAAACCAAAATGGTGTTGGACACATCCAAAACCAAAATGGTTTGGCACATCCAAGACCAAAATGGTGTTGGATACTTCCAAGACCAAAATGGTGTTGGATGCATCCAAAACCAAAATGGTGTTGGATTCATCCAAAACCAAAATGGTTTTGGACGCATCCAACACCAAAATGGTGTTGGATACATCCAAAACCAAAATGGTGTTGGATACATCCAAAACCAAAATGGTGTTGGATTCATCCAAAACCAAAATGGTGTTGGATACATCCAAAACCAAAATGGTGTTGGATACATCCAAAACCAAAATGGTGTTGGATACATCCAAAACCAAAATGGTGTTGGATTCATCCAAAACCAAAATGGTGTTGGATACATCCAAAACCAAAATGGTGTTGGATACATCCAAAACCAAAATGGTGTTGGATACATCCAAAACCAAAATGGTGTTGGATACATCCAAAACCAAAATGGTGTTGGATACATCCAAAACCAAAATGGTGTTGGATCCATCCAAAACCAAAATGGTGTTTGCGCATCCAAAACCAAAATGGTGTTGGATACATCCAAAACCAAAATGGTGTTTGCGCATCCAAAACTAAAATGGTGTTGGCGCACCCAAGACCAAAATGGTGTTGGATGCATCCAAAACCAAAATGGCATTGGACACATCTGAAACCAAAATGGTGTTGGATGCATCAAAGATCAAAATGATGTTCAACGTATCAAAGACCAAATTGGTGTTGGCGCATCCAAAACAAAAAAGGGTGTTAGAATAACAAAAGGATAAATCTGTCATACAAAGGGTTTAGCAAAATATATAATTATGAAAAATAAATATTGTAACTAAATCCATAATCAATCTTCGAGTGTACAATAAGTGATACAATAAATATATAAATATATAGGTACAAAAATACTATAAATATATAGAAAATATAAACACGTGTGTGTTGCAAGATATTAGTATTGTGTAAACTGAAAGTTTTCACCTTTCATTCACAATTGAAGACGTTGCTTAATTAGTCGAATTTTGATGTCACATTCATCCATAATCAGGCATTTCAATCCTCATCTGCGCATGCCAATCCACAGAAACCAGCTCCACTGCACGCATCAACTGTATGCAAAGTTTTATCTGCACAAAAGATCTCAAGCAGCTTCTTGTACAAAGCAATAGGTTTCTGCCTCGTGTAGATACTTTTTGTGTCTTTCTCCTTGGCGAGAGGATCAGCTTCTGCTTCAATAAAATTTGTTGAGGACACCAGTGTACTCTTTGACCCACTGACAATGAAAGGCAGCACAGTCGTTTTCAATACATTTTCTATATTGTATCTATTTCTTCGATACTGATTGAAAATATTAAGTAGATATGGCTAGCAAGAGGAAGAAAAGCAAATATTTTGAAGTAAGAGGATCCATTGATGATGGTGAGTATTGTTATGTACTTTGACATACCACACATTCTTACTTGTTTTGTGTCACATTGGCCAATGGCCCTGTTTCCATGTTAACTTATTCTAGCATGTCAGGGGCAGATAAAGATTATATTCCCATGTTTTCCTGGACGAATTTGTTTCTTGCTGTTCTTAGGCTCAATAACAAAGTAATTGTCAACCCTAAGTACTAAGCACAAAACAGTAAACGGCTGGCCTCTGTAGCTCAGTTGGTTAGAGCGCTGCACCGGAATCGCAGGGCCGTAGGTTCAATTCCTACCAGAGGACCTTGTGCTGCTTTTTTCGCAGTAGTTCCTGGTTAGGTCTTAAAATGTATATATTCTCACTTGGATTCCAAACTCTGACTGGCCTATCTGCCTGTGTGTCTAGTTAATTAATCCATTGAGTCACATTGTGCCCTGATGCACCCTACTATATTATTTTGACCTGTCTTATGCCAGGCGATGTTACTTGTCAAGGGGAAAGCACTGGTGCTAACCCAGTGAGTGGCAGCACTTTCCCCCTGACAAGTAAAATCGTCTGGCATTAAACAGAGTAAAATAAAAAAAGTAGGGTACATCTGGGCACATTGCCACTTAAAGGGTTGATGGGTTAATATTTTTTACAGTACGTAAACTTTCATGTTGTGAGAAAAACTGCTCTGGATATGTCGATTATGCTGTTCTGATTTTGGCGAGAAATTTTGTTAATGACTTATCAGGGAAACAAAAGAATCAGTGGCTTTTGCAATACATACGTGACCATAAGGAGAAAAGGTAATATTTGGGACAAAGGAGTGCAAAGCTTGATTATTTACATACCACTAGCTGGGCATGTACAGTATATAATTATATGTATATGATTCTGCAATATTTGGTCTTCTACATAATAATTTTTCTTAATAAATTGCAGCAGAAGAACTATTACTTTTATGATTCACGGATTTGTGGTCTGTAAGAAGTCATGGTTGGCAATTTATCAAGTTAGCGACAGACGTTTCAGCAGATTGGTCCAGCTGGAACTTTATGGCTGTTGCACTATTGGTAGCCAAACAAAAAGGATGAGGAAGACAACCACCTACATCTCCAAGGCCTGGATGGAATCTTCTTTCATGAAGATGGGTGATAAAATGCCAGATAGTGTTAAGATTCATTTGCCATGTTATCTGAATTATAGAGCATTGCACCAATTCCTGATAGATGATTTGAAAGCAGCTGGAGATGATCCAGTTTGCTATTCTCAGTTCTGCAAAATGATGCTAACAGACTTCAAACATGTTTCAATCCCAAAGGTAAATGCAAGTCAAGAGAAGTACTAATCATTATTAGGTGTACAAGTGAGAGAATACTAATGATCCTGGCTTACCTCGCAAAAATATTGCGAACTTTGTTCCAAAGTTTGAAAATTCATTGTAAAGTTTAAATGAAAGTGATAAAATTGTTAGTAACTTTTGAGATTTGCAAAGAGGTGGCGACCTTTAGAACAATATTTGGAACATTTTTGTAAAAAGGTTTGTAAAATCATTAAGCTTGACAACTTTATTTAATTTCAACTTTGCAGGTTACTAGATTAACCAAATGTGATATTTGTGTCACACTGAAAGAAGAAAAGGTGAAAGCAATGGATAAATTGGCTAGAAGCTATTATGATACACTATACTCACAGCGTAATGATCTTCAAAGGTTTAACAATGGACCATTTGCATTATAGACTACATTTTGATCTAAACAAGTCAGGACAAAAACTTCATCGCAGCTTGAAAGAGCATCACAAAATTAGTAATACTCCAAAGATTCGTTGCCCAGTACCCTTTGGGGCTGTCAATTTCCTGACTTTTTATACAGTCACTTGAACTATGCAATATCTAGTTCTAAAGAATTATACAATATACAGCTACTAGTAACAGTTACAACTGCGAGTTCCTGTTATTGTAGCATATGAACGTACTGTACTAACAATATTTGTCAGTTTTATAATCCCCCAACTAATAATAAGTATATATTCTATTTTAGGGCTGAACGGGAGAAGTATTACAAACACCGGAACAAAGCAAAAGATACGCCAGGTAATAAATACACGGTTCGTACAAGACTTGAAAGTCCTTGAATGTCCTTTGGAATTTGAAATAAAAAATTCAAGGCCTTGAATGTCCTTGAATTTGTAAAGAAGTACTTGAATGTCCTTCAATTGTCTTGCTTTAGTTTTTGGATGTATTCTGAAATTGTTTGACATTCAAAACGGACATTTTGTTAAAATTGATTTTGCATGCTCATGTCTGACAAAGGTGTTTGGAACTCATTAAATTTGTTTTGAACAATTGAACGTCACATTTTACTTATTTCAAACCCCTTTTCTTCGGTGTTTAGTCCTTGAATTTGCTGATACATGGCCTTGAATGTCTTTAAAAAGTCTTTGAAATTGACTGTTCCTCGCATGTACGAACCCTGTAAATAGTAATTTTTATCATCCTGTTGTATGTGGGCTTACTACTCCATGCTAGCCCTGTGGCCATGTCAATCTGCCCAAACTAGTAATCATATTTTTATACTATAACAGACCTGTTACGGTAATCTTCCTAATCACGCTACCAAGAGGAACATTTACTGCCCATCATGTGATTTAATTCCCACGCGCAAGTATTATGCAACACCGTGCAGTTGTGTGACAGTGTACAATTTAACTTGGTTTGAGCAGTTTCGGTTTTCACAGTAAGATAAGATTTTCCCATTGATTTGCAAATATATTGCAGTTTGAAGTGTCCAAACCTATTTTACTGTACTGCGCAATAGGTTACTAACATATACACTGTAGCAGACTCAAAAACTTGTTGTCGCTCAAGATTGAATGTACCCTGGGTGCCAGAGCCTCTTGTGATAGAAGTGAGGACACAACGAGGAGGCTCTGGTCCACTGCTCTGGTCACACGAGCATCCAGCCTCACTTTGGTGAGTTCAATATTTTTAGACTCTGTTTGTGATTGGTCTAAATTTATGCGAGTCTTTTCATTGGTTAACCAATGCTCATCGGTTAACCAATGAAAAGACTCACATAAATATTGACCAATCACAAACAAAGTTCAAATATTGAACTCACCAAAGTGAGGCTGGATGCTTGTGTGACCAGAGCCTCCTTGTTGTGTCCTCACTTCTATTACAACAGGCTCTGGCACCCAGGGTAGATTGAATGCCACTCAAATTTAAATGTTTTCCCTGCAGATAGATATATGTGTGTTATCATTGATGGAATGGACCAAATGAAGCTTATGATACCTCAATTGGTTAATCAGATGAAATCGTTTTCAAGTGCTTGGCGATTGAAAATACACCTCACAGGAGTGCTTAATCATGGAAGGGAAGCAATTGGGTATTTCGATATGCATCAATGGCCACACGATAGCAACCTGACCATGAATGTGCTGCTACAGGTGTTGGTACGAATGGAATGTGTACCAGACATCTTATACATTCAAATGGATAACTGTTGGCGCGAGAATAAAAATCAACATGTATTTGCATTCCTTGGTGTCCTAGTAGCTTTGGAAATATTCAAGAAGGTATAATAACAAGTTTAAAAGAACCCTTCATCTGTAACCAGGAAAGACTGCGAAAAATGCAGCACAATGTCCTCTGGTAGGAATTGAACCCACGGCCCTGTGATTCCGGTGCAGCGCTCTAACCAACTGAGCTACAGAGGCTAGCTGTTGAGCTGTAACCGTAAGTTCATGTATATATACAGTAGGTAATCGAGTGTGCGGGTTGTGATAAGGTGAATTTGAATAACTTAGATTCTTGCACTTCACTTGGTGGAATTAATATTAGGATGTTAGGGTTTGTAATCCAAGTGAGAATATATACATTTTAAGATTTAACCAGGAACGACAGCGAAAAATGCAGCACAAGGTCCTCTGGTTGGAATTGAACCCACGGCCCTGCGATTCCGGTGCAGCGCTCTAACCAACTGAGCTGCAGAGGCCAGCTGTTGAACTGTAACCCCAAGTTCATGTACATATATATAGGTAATCGGGTGTGCGGGTTGTGATAAGGAGGACTTCAATAATTTGGATTTTTGCACTTCACTTGGTGGAATTAATATTAGGATGTTAGGGTTAGTAATCCAAGTGAGAATATATACATTTCAAGACCTAACCAGGAACGACTGCGAAAAATGGAGCACAAGGTCCTCTAGTAGGAATTGAACCCACGGCCCTGCGATTCTGGTGCAGCGCTCTAACCAACTGAGCTACAGAGGCTAGCTGCTGAGCTAGTCCACCAAGTGAAGTGCAAGAATCTAAGTTATTCAAGTCTACCTTATCACAACCCGCACACCCGATTACCTATATATACATGAACTTACGGTTACAGCTCAACAGCTAGCCTCTGTAGCTCAGTTGGTTAGAGCGGTGCAACGGAATCGCAGGGCCGTGGCTGCAATTCCTACCAGAGGACCTTGTGCTGTATTTTTTTCAGTCGTTCCTGGTTAGGTCTTAAAATGTATATATTCTCACTTGGAGTACAAATCCTAACATCCCATTATTTTCTACTCTTACCTTACTACAATTCTCAATATTGCAAATAATAAATCTTCAAAAAGAATAATTCGTCTCAATTACTACTTTGCAGGTGAAGATAAATTTTCTCATGAAAGGGCACACGCATGAGGACTGCGACCAACTGTTCAGCAGATTTGGCGTCAAACTCTCTGATCGTAATGTTGTTACAATGAAAGGTA